AGAGGCAAAAATAGAAAGCTTCTATAAAGTACAGGAATTTATTTTCAAACAACATGATATGGCTGTTTGAATGTCTACAACCTTTACAGAACAGCAATGTGAAAAACGGCTATATTTCAGTCTGAACTTCACCAAGCAGCTGCTTAGTTGTAACAAAAGCACATTTTTCAATTAGTTTATTCAGGTTACCAAGAATACAAACGTTGTCACTGACTGTGCCTTGTAGAGGAAATGAATACTATTCATGAAGTCTTCTGTGCTGGATTCTGCCTTGCACATTCTCACCATACTAAAAAAGGCTTGTGTCACAGTAGAAGTTTATGGTCTGTTAATCATCGATTGAGGAAGTTGTTTCCTAGTTTTGTGTGATCAGTACGTCCTTTCCAAATGAAGAGTGTGTTCTCAGTACTAACATAGATAGTATAGAAGTTCCATTATCTAACCACCTGTTCCCACCTGCAGTTGAATAAATTCATCCAGTGCCTGCCTGCAACAAGGTGTCCTGTGCCCACAATAATTTGATTCATACAAAACACATTAGATCCACAGTATATAACATCTGTGACTGGTTGCACTCATATACCTTTTTTTGTGAAGATCTCTTTCCAGGTCAGTCCTTAGGTAGTCGCTAGCTGCCATGACAGTACTTTCCAGTTTTTCTGTTACCTGGTCATTACATATGAAAAATAAAATACAGTAAGTTACACCTGGCTAGAAACTGTCTTAACATCCAGGTATTCAATCAATACAAATGATATGTCTTTTTTATTCTCTACTTTTCCTTTTCTTGCCTTTATACAGATGCAGCCACTCTGAATGCTCGTGTCCATGTGAATCTGTGTCTAGTGTACAGTAAATCTTATATCTTAGAAGTAGGACAGCCTATTAAATGAACTTCATGTTTTCAGTAACAGCTAATGCACCACCAGTATCACCCATCGTTCTTTTTTGGCCAGTGAATCCGAGTCTGACATGCAATCTGAGTAGCTGCAGCAGTTACCCTTGTCCTCACAAAAAGGACTCACTGACTCACTGTGGACTCACTACTTCACAGGTCAGGTTCTTCAGTTCTAAAAAAATATTGACACAGATATGAAGTATTATGACATACTTCCTCGTGTCCTAGTAGTTACTGTAAATCTTTTTGTAAGTGAATGCAATTGTTTCCTAATGTTTTTAGGAAAATATGGGTGTCATATCCAATTCAGTGCTCACTGGAAATATTGTTATCCCCTTTCAAAATGCCCATGCTCAGTGGAAATCTTTCTTTGTTCCACTCTCAATGGTACATGATTTGTCTGTCTGCCTGTGCACAGGAACTGTCTTGTCTGTTGTAAACATGTTGCCTTTTTTTTAGGATTACATATGTATTTTTAATTATGTATACGTAACGAACAATATAGACATGCATATAGCCTTCGAATGCATGTGAAAGAACACAAGACCAACAATCAAGGAGGCTCGAGGAGAGTAAAAGAATTTAAAGACGCCCTTAAACAGAAACCAATTAGCATGCAAATGAAACGTTGCTGTTTCAGTAAGGTAATGTAGGTGAGTCCACCCAAAAGAGATCGACTGAGTCAAGGGTCATCCACTCTTACTCCCTGAAAGGGACGATCTAGAGGAAGTGAGAACCGGAGTTGTGTGAGTTGGTGGGTCTAATCGTCCACAAGCCAAGGACTCAGGGACATGAGTCAACTTTAATACACAATCTCGGAGGAGATCATAGAGGCGGCCATGGGAAGAATTAGAGAAAGACTGTGAGAACACGAGTAAGAGATACAATGACATGGAGGGTGATATCAGTGCGAGGAAGAACTCAGAGAGAGCAGGGAGAAGATAAGATACAGCAAAGTGAGAAGGACATGTAAGTGAAATTATGCCTCATGTAGTAGTTCTGATGAGAAGGCCAAGTGACAACACCACTCTCAAAAGAAAGCGAGTGTCAAATTGGGGAAAATAGTGGAGCAGGCAAGCATTGTCCAGAGCTGAAATCCAGAACACAGAAGGGTCAAAATTGGGGAGTCGCTGCAGCAAAGCACAAGAATGAATATACTGTAATTAAAAATAATAAGCTGTGTTATATGATATTATGACATTTGGATTTGTGGTGGCCATGTGGTAACAACATCCTGTCTCAACACAGTAATCATTGTACTCAATGAGATTGTTTTTTTGCTAGTATGCGTGCAGTATGACTAGCACAGGAAAGCACTAATGGGGTTCAGAGACAGCAGCCTTCTCAGAGCAGAGGAAAGCTGTCTTAGCAATGTCAGGTTAGGTACTAGAATTTATTGAAGTCTGAGATGTTAAGATGCAAAATAGTCACAGACTCGATTGTTGCTGTGTCTAAGTCACCTTTCAAGGCGCTATATAAAATAAAGTTTATTACTATTATACAGCGGACCTGGCCAGATGGGATCAGTTGAGAGTGGGCTTACACTGCTACGACTGGAGAAACTGAAAACAGTCTAGGCTCCTTTTCTCTCTCTTACCCCGCAAGGAGAACAGTAACATAATCTGGTTGTAAATCGTTGAGGGGATTTATCTACCCCCAAAGGGGGCAAAATAACCTGGATGGTTACTAAATTGAAAATAATGTGGTTCAAAAACCTGCAGGGGATTGTAGAGGAATAGTGAGATCAAGGTTTCCCAGCAGGAAAAAAAACAAGGTGTGAAAAGCAAAAGCTAGATCTCAGGCATGTTCAAGCTGAGCACAGTAAAATCAACTCAGTATAAGGGACAGAAGAACTGTTTAGGTTATC